TTTAAAGTATCATTATTTTGTTAAGACATAATGAACAGAATTTGTGCAGAATGACAAGATCTTTAATATCATATCAAGAAAAAAGTGCTGACTCATCATATTAAGGGCCAAAAGGGGCCAAAAGTCCTTTTTCGATAACTCTTAAACAGTCAATATTTTGTTAGACATTACAGAAGCAAAAATGTTAATCTCAACAATCTACAACTGTATATTATAATTTTAACGTCGTATGTGACATAATTAGGGGCCACAAGGGGCCAAAATGCTAAATCTTTGACACTTTATAGCTCAAAAGTGGTAAATATTTTGACAAGTAATATTGAACAAAAGATGTTCAAAATAATGTTCTAAACAATATGCAATCTTTAATTTTTCGCTAAACGTCCCCATTAAGGAGTTGAAGGGTTGGCCCCTAAATATTTCTTTTGGAAATAACTCGAAAACGAAAAAGAATCTCTGAGTAGTTGTTGAACAAAAAGTGTTCAAAATCGTAAGAGCTTTAAGATGAGATCAAGAAAAAGGGGCTGGGCACTCAAATTAGGGGCCGAGAAGGGCCAAAAGTCTTCTATCGATAACTCTTTAGCAGTCAATATTGTGTTATACATTACTGAAGCAAAAATGTTTATCTCAACAATCTACAACTATATATTATGATTTGAATGTCCTATGGTGCATAATAAGGGGCCATAAGGGGCCAGAATGCAATATCTTTGACTCTTTATATCTCAAAAGTGGGAAATATTTTGATAAGTAATATTGAACAAAAGATGTTCAAAATAATGTTCTAAACAATATGCAATCTTTAATTTTTCGCTAAACGTCCCCATTAAGGAGTTGAAGGGTTGGCCCCTAAATATTTCTTTTGCCAATAACTCGAAAACGAAAGAGAATCTCTGAATAGTTGTTGAACAAAAAGTGTTCAAAATCCTAAGAGCTTTAAGATGAGATCAAGAAAAAGGGGCTGGGCACTCAAATTAGGGGCTGAGAAGGGCCAAAAGTCTTTAATCGATAACTCTTTAGCAGTTAATATTGTGTTATACATTACTGAAGCAAAAATGTTTATCTTCACAATTTAAAACTATATATTATGATTTGAATGTCCTATGGTGCATAATAAGGGGCCATAAGGGGCCAGAATGCTATATCTTTGACTCTTTATATCTCAAAAGTGGGAAATATTTTGATAAGTAATATTGAACAAAAGATGTTCAAAATAATGTTCTAAACAATATGCAATCTTTAATTTTTCGCTAAACGTCCCCATTAAGGAGTTGAAGGGCTGGCCCCTAAATATTTCTTTTGCCAATAACTCGAAAACGAAAGAGAATCTCTGAATAGTTGTTGAACAAAAAGTGTTCAAAATCCTAAGAGCTTTAAGATGAGATCAAGAAAAAGGGGTTGGGCACTCAAATTAGGGGCTGAGAAGGGCCAAAAGTCTTTAATCGATAACTCTTTAGCAGTTAATATTTTGTTATACATTACTGAAGCAAAAATGTTTATCCCCACAATTTAAAACTATATGTTGTAATTTTAATGTCGTATGTTACATAATTAGGGGCCACAAGGGGCCAAAATGCTTAATCTTTGATGCTTTATATCTCAAAAGTTGGAAATATTTTGATAAGTAATATTGAACAAAAGATGTTCAAAATAATGTTCTAAACAATATGCAATCTTTAATTTTTCGCTAAACGTCCCCATTAAGGAGTTGAAGGGTTGGCCCCTAAATATTTCTTTTGCCAATAACTCGAAAACGAAAGAGAATCTCTGAATAGTTGTTGACCAAAAAGTGTTTAAAATCCTAAGAGCTTCAAGATGAGATCAAGAAAAAGGGGCTGGGCACTCAAATTAGGGACTGGGAAGGGCCAAAAGTCTTTAATCGATAACTCTTTAGCATTACTATTTTGTCATACATTACTGAAACAAAAATGTTTCTCCCAACAATTTAAAACTATATGTTGTAATTTTAATGTCGTATGTTACATAATTAGGGGCCACAAGGGGCCAAAATGCTTAATCTTTGATGCTTTATATCTCAAAAGTGGGAAATATTTTGATAAGTAATATTGAACAAAAGATGTTCAAAATAATATTCTAAACAATATGCAATCTTTAATTTTTCGCTAAACGTCCCCATTAAGGAGTTGAAGGGTTGGCCCCTAAATATTTCTTTTGCCAATAACTCGAAAACGAAAGAGAATCTTTGAATAGTTGTTGAACAAAAAGTGTTTAAAATCCTAAGAGCTTCAAGATGAGATCAAGAAAAAGGGGCTGGGCACTCAAATTAGGGACTGGGAAGGGCCAAAAGTCTTTAATCGATAACTCTTTAGCATTACTATTTTGTTATACATTACTGAAACAAAAATGTTTATCCCCACAATTTAAAACTATATATTGTAATTTTAATGTCGTATGTTACATAATTACATAATTATTTCTTCTGCAATCAACTCAAAAACGAAAAAGAATCACGTAATAGTTGTTAATCAAATAGTGTTTAAAATCCTGAGAGCCCAAAGATGATATGAAGAAAAAGGGCAGATTCCTAATATTAAGGGTCGTGAGGGGCGAAAAGTCGAATTTTCAAGTCTTAATGTTCAATGTCTGTTTACAGATTATGGAGGCAAAATCGTTCTTCTTCACAATCTTTATCATTATTTTAGAATGAAAACCTCAATCAAACTATTTTCTCATCTTATCAAGAATCGGACAGAAGACCCACTCGTTGCTCGCAACGAGATCGTATCTAGTTTTTCTTCTTCTTCCTAGACCGCAACTTTGAGGTCTCATATCTCACTCATTTCTCAACGGATTTCGCTCAAATTTTCAGATGTTATAGACGTTTATAAACTCTATCAGAATGCTGACAAAAATTTCAAAAAGTCACTTCCGGTTTTGAGTTATTTCCCTTTAAACGAAAATTTATAGGCTTTCGTTTCCAGACAAAGGTTCAGAGACGGCCAAAGCTGGAACAGAAATTCTACTGATTTTAGAAAATAGAAGGATTGAAGTTGTGCACATCGGATTTTGTTTTTCGATTTCTCTATTCAAAATGGCGCTATATAGGGGTCAAAAAATAGAACGCTTAAAAAAAACAAAAATTACTCATATTTTGCTTTTTATCTTCTAAACTAAAAATATTTTGTTAAAATATATAGAACATAATCTGTGCAGAATTAGAAGATCTTTCAAACAATATGTGGGAAAAAGGGCTGACCCCTAAATTAAGGGATTTAGAGGGGCCAAAATTTTTTTCCAGATATCTCAAAAAGTATTGAGAATTTGTTATACATCAAAGAAGCAAAGTTGTTGAAAATACCAAGCTTAATCTAATGGAGTCGTCAAAATACGTCCAACACGTTTTTGACAAGTTTTTGTGTACTTCCGGCCAAACCGGAAGTAGTCGGAAAACTTTTGGGCTTATTTTTGCCGTTTTTGACAAGTTTTTGTGTAACATATGTCTCTGGGAGCTAAAAAAAAATTAATTTTCCGATGCGTCGTCGTCACTTCCGGTCAAACCGGAAGTAGCAATAGATTATACCCAGAGAGCTAGATTTTGTGCAAGCTGATTTACATTGGAAATCTTTTAAAATGGCTTATTTTTGCATCACTTAACATAGCTTTAGAAGATTCAAAGCATTTTGGAAATTCTGTATATAAATTTTATCGTTATTTCTCATTTTTGTGAAAAATGAAAGCTACTTCCGGTCAAACAGGACTTGGAACAAAGAAATGTTGGTTTTACCTACTCACAAACTACTACTCGTTGCTTTGCAACGAGCTTTGCTCTAGTTTTTTTACTGATTGTAATATAAGGCCATTATAATTATAAACATTGAATTGTCGAGAATTTTTTCCGCTATTTACCGATCATGATGAGGAGCATACTGCGGGTGTGACCGATCAGCAGGGGATGCTTCATGGTATATGATCCCTCTGCTAATTTTTGTAGGTCCTTGTTAGCTCTGCTCCAATTTTGCATTGTTTGGTGGACTTTGGAGCTTAAATACTGTTCCCTATCTCCATTATATATCATTAACAAGTATATGCCACTTTTCACTTTTGAAAAAACTATGCTTTTTACGCAACCAAAGCCGCTTGCATATAATAACCATTCCAATAATTGTTTAGCAAAAAAAATTAGTAATAGTTAAGACTGATTCAACATCTTCAATAATATATGAATGGACTACAACTTACTTTTTATACTTATCTGTTTTGAATATAAGCTTCAAAATGGCAATCTAATCGTGCTATAGAAAAAAAGTAAATATGAAAATTCGCGAAGGTTAACTAAATGATTGTTTCATGGTGGATGACCTTGAAGTTCATGAAATGTGTGCTCTTATTATCTTAAAGATTTCCAACAAAGATACTCAAACCGTAAAAACGGGTTTTCGTGACTGTTTTGCAAATGAAAGTGTTAATTATTTTTATATAATAAGAAAAAGTGTATATAAAGCGTCGGATGAAAAGCAAAACTTCACTGGCCTCCGTCAAGTTTGACTCTCTGCCATCATGAAGGTAAGCTTTTAAATTAGTATCTTATTTTAGTTCTGTTAATTAATTTTTTAAAATCTTTCTTTCAAACAGCAATGAATTTGAGTTATGTATACAAATGGAATTATTTACAAATGCAAGTTTCTCAGGAAAATAGGATAATATTCAATTGTTGACTAAAGAGTACCTTCATGGGGTTTTGTATAAAAATTGCTAAGAAATGTGGAGGACGTGTTATTTTGTCCTCTTTAGAGTTTTATTTGTATTTGCTTCACATCCTCTCTTATTCCAGTATGAATACAGTCAAGATTTATTTCAATTTTTCGGTGTATTAATATGAGTTTATCTTTTTACTTTCACAAATAAACATCATTGTCTCTTTATTATTTTTTTTTAAGATTAATTCCAAGTTTCGTTCAAATTGTTTATAAATCCTATAAACAGGGTTAGTTTTTTTTATTGCAGTGCGTTTGGTTACTTGTCGCAACAGCATCCTTTGTTATCTGTTTATCCGGGGCTTCTGGTGAAAAGACGTGCGATGTTATAAAGTTTGGTAGAGGGGAATTTGACAAGAAAAAAGAATGCTGGAAGAAGGAACCTACAACGCCTCATTTGGAGGTTACATCTAGCCCTCAATCTTTAAACATCAGGTCAGAATTTACCTTGTATTCAGTAATCCTTAACATCAATTACCATCTAGGCCTCAATCTTTGAAAACTAGGTCAAAATTTACCTTGTATTCAGTAATCTTGAACAATTAGAAGCAACATATCAAGGCAACATCTAGGTCGCAAACTTTGAAAATCAGGTCAGAATTCATCTTCTGTTTAGTAATCGGTAACATTTAAAGAATACATCTAAGCAATAATTTCTGAAAATCAGGTCAGAATTTACCTTGTACATCAAGGCCCAAATCTTTAAAAATCAGGTCAGAATTTACCTCGCCTTCAATAATCTTTAACATTCAACTCATCCTATTCAAATACCGGTATTGCTTGAAATGAAAGTGCAAACATTTTATCACAGTTAAATATGTTGGTATACAAAAAGATCCTGTTATAAAGTTTTTAAAAGTTGGTTAATTATATCGATAATATGTACTGAAAGTTAGTAGTCATTTGATATATGATACTAAATATTTTCTTTTCAAAAAATCAATCAAACTGACTTTTGAAGTATTTTTATGGTAAAATAAACTTCGACTTCTAATTCAATGAACTTCTACATTAATTTTATATCCATGAATATAATAACTTTATTTCCTTTTAAATCTTCCATTACTTTTATAAGTAGATAAAAAAAAATAATTTTCACAGAAAAAGAATCGGCAAACACCTTGATGTCTAATTAAAAAAAAACGTGCACTTGCCTGATATTTGAGTCTCAAAAAGTTTTGTCTTTTAAGTTTCTTTTAAATATTTTTAATATTTTTGTCCTTTTTATTTTGCCTTTGAGAAGGTCCGATTCTCAGGACTTAAAAATCAGGGTTTGGATGATTGAACGTACTCACAAGAGTGAGAATTTGAATTGTGAAAATAGTGTTTATATATACCCATGTTATTTTTTCAAATTTCTTCATTAAAAGTAATCATATTTTATAGGAGAAAGTATTTAAAACCTTAAATATATTTTTGGGAAATGCAAAATTAAGTACCGACTAGACCTTTGATAAAAATTGCATCTTTTAATCGGTACGTTATGTCATCTTTTTACTCCAAATGTTAAGAATTAGATACTAGTAGTTTAAAATGCATGTTCTATCATTGTAAGATAACACAGGTCAATTTTAATATCATATAATGCTAATAAACATTGGAACATCGTATCGAAATATAAGGCTAGATAACAGGAAATGTTATTTCTATAAAATGCAGCTTTTTATGTACATCAAACGGTTTTCCAAATGCCCTTGAAACATACTGAGATACATGTATATAAAATGAAAATTGTTCTACGAAAAATATTCAATTTCAGCTTAATTTTGAGCTTTTTTAGATTTGATATTAATAATAAGAGTTATCCTTCCTGGATAAGGAGCGGATATTCTTAAGGTCAATCGACACGTTCCTCAAAAATATATAATTTTTAAGATTTTCATTTGATGAATAGATACTTAAGCAAGATTCCTCACAGAAAATTAGGTTACCTTTCCAGGCAATTCGACATGAAACCACAGGGTCATATTTCTTATAAAACCCTTATGTGTATATTGTAATCTTCTGAATGTCCTATATCACCAGTTTTGGTGCACTTATATTTAAATGTCGAAATCACAAGCGTTTGACAAATATGAATACTGTTTATATAATACCAAGAGATACAAAACAGATATTCGAGAACGTGTCGCCTGACCTTAAATACAAAACATTCTCTTCATTGAAGGCTTAGAGAATCATGTCGACAGTGTATGTTGCTTAAAAGATTACACTGTCAGGGTATTTAAGGGTAGTTAACAATTACATTCTAACACAGTAAGCCAAAACTAAGCCACTGTAAAAGAATTTGTATGCAATGATTTCGTCATATCGTGTTCGAATGCAACCTTAATATGTCATGATTGTTTATTATTCAAATGGAAATTAAAATTATATTTTAGGAGAAAAATTCAGCGTGCGCTCAAGTGCAGACTGGGAATACAGAAGTTTCTTGCTCAGAAATCGTCTGATTGTGATCCAAGGTATATATTATTTATTTTTCGCTAATATTCTAATACATGACTGTGTGCCTTACTTTTTAATTTGAAACAACATTTTTTTTCAGCAAATATACAAATATTGGGCTGAAAAACGTTTGTCCAATCAAATTCGAGTATGCAACAGAGATTAAGAGAGGAAGAAAAAGATGTTATGTTGTGTATCCTACCCGTCAATGTGTAACATTCGCAAAGTGCCAGACAAAAAAGTAAGAAGCTGTTAAAGTATCATTTTTACTGTTTTTTCCCTTGTCTTTATATTACAAATGCAGGCTATGTTTATACTTAACAGGAATTGCTCGAAGACAACACAACGCAGCGTGAAAAGTGCTTGTTTGGCTGACCGATTCCGTTACTTCAACGTTTGGATATTCTGTCCGGACAACCATAGTTTTGAATATGAAACCGTGCTGTTACCTCAGTGCTGTTCCTGCAGAGAATACAAGCGCTGTTAACAAGCCATAAACGAAACAGCATGGAATACAGTTGTTCTAAGGCTGAAAATGTGTAACTCTCTAAAGTTTCTACAATAGCTGAGCCTTTAACATGTTGCAGGATTTTCTTTTGCTGTTAAATTACATCAATAAAAGCATTGATGCTATGCTGGAGTTTTTTTATTCATTTAATATAATGGGATGACGAACAATATTCAAGCTCAAAAGTTAATTAAAAGCTTAAGATACAAATTTTGGAGCATAGCAAACACGGACCTCTACAATATCAGTCAGGATCGGATGCCATGTAGAAGTGAGCATCCCCTTCCTACCGGTCACACCTCCGTATCAAAACCAGGAAATAAGGGAAAATCCGTAGGCAATTCAGTAAATGAATAATGGTCCAAGAATTTGTTTGAAAAACGTCAATCAATATTTGACTTAATGAAATATTGTATTTTCTGAAATGGGCACTGTATCGACTATAGAAATTACAAATTACTAAACGAAACTGCATGTTTTATAACCTTGTTTTTCAATAAATAACATTGTTTTAGAAATTGTTCATACGTAGAGCATGCTCTGGCGCATCGAATCCGTTAAATGATATAATACTCGTATCACTGATTCTCAAAGTCCAGTCTCAATTCGCTTTTAATAATGAACCGTGTTTTAAGTAACATACTAGTAACATTTCAAATAGATTTTATTTTCTGCCAGTCATATGAAACAATGTTGGATGTAGATTAAAATACAACAATTGTTTGTCTATAAGGAGAAAATCGCATTTTATAGCACAAATCAATATTAAATAATTTAATTTTACGTTACTGTCGCCGATCATCGTGTAGTTTTTATTTTAAACCGAAAAGAAGCTTTAAATCATATACAGATTAATTTCTTCGTTAGATTATGCAACACTAGAACTATATTATCTGAATATCATAGCCTCCTCATATATGCGTGTCACAAATGTCACAAAACAATTTTGTTTCGGATATACGTTACGAATGTTAACGTTAAATCACTGCACTTTAAACTGTGCAATATTAACCGATTGCTCAAAATGGAATCATTGATCATTAAACCACGATTTATTTTGAATTTTTTTTTGTCAATTCAATTTTCAAATCACAAGGATGCAAAAGATATTGAGTAAGAAAAATGTTCAGACACCTTTGCATGCACAATCCATTTGCACCACGGCTTTTATGTTACAGGAAAAAGTACAATTGTAAGAAACAATTGCAATGAATTTCTGCATGTTGCCAGTTATTGCATAGTAAAGATTCACTCGCAAATCTGTTCAATCAGCTTTCGAATTTAATTCTTATTTACTTTAAAACATGGTAACGTAAATATTTTTCTGAGCTGTATCGTATCGTTTAATCTTGTTGAACTATTCCACTGTTAATTAAAGGCATATACTAGTGCTTGAGTGTAAGGCAATTTGATACACGGGAAACAGTCTTCTTCTCTTATTTTGTGAATAAATACTAATACATAAATATCGATGAATTTTTAATCGTTGAACTTCAATGAAAAGGGGGCCTATAAATTATAAATACAGATAGACAGTGTCTTTTTTACAAATCCATATAACTGGAGAAATGTTTTTGATGTTAAAAAATTACAACTTAATCCTATTGAGTAGGCATTTCAACTGCCGCTAGGGTCCGCTGTTATGAACGATAACTCGTTGCTAAAACTTGTTTAGAGTAGGTCCGAGGTATCGAACTGTTTATACACAATTTAGTTTTTAGCATTTCTTAAGTGTTTCTTTGCTTTCAATAGAATCCAGTGGTTTTAAATTTTAGCACTAATGTTAAACTTATTTACTATATAACTCATTCTTCAATACTGGTGAATTTTTAAAATGTATTTCTTTTCTCCTTTATTTTCCAATAAATAAAATGTTAGCAGATAGATTGATATTGATATATTTGATACTTGTGTAAGGATATAGTATAAATAGTTTTATGGATATGAGTTGAGGAATAAAAAAAATATTGATCATTTTGTATTGCATTTAGGGGATTTCAGATGCAGAAAATGTGACATAATTTTCGAATAGGCATAAAGATGTTGTTTTATTTAAAAATAAAATCATTTGGCAAGATATTTGTGTACATTATCTTAGCATATAAATGAAATAATATATTTATTTTGTCAAACATGCTAAAATTATCTTAATTATTTTTTTCTGAACTTAAAAATTGTGGTTTATGTTCGTAACGCATGGTGTCCATATGCACTGAACTTTTTAACACGTACCTCTCTACAAACATTAAATAATTTGTCAAGTTCAGTTTCTGTGTTTAATTAATGAGTATGTGTGATAAATTATTTTTAACAATATGCTTCATGAACATAACTCAGTTACTTTTGTAATTTTCAAATGATCTCTGATTGTAAAATGTTTGGTGTCTTGACCGTTATGAACATAATAGCTTTCAGTATGATTGCTAAAATAACAGCCAATGAATCATAAGTTTGGCTCAGAGAGTCTGTAGCAGTGGAGTAATTATAAATTAAAAACGAAAGTAGAAAGGTTGCGCAGCTGTCTGCTAAAAATCATGGCGATGCTCATTGTGTCCATGTGGAAAAAAGAAGTTACGAACATAATAGATTCGGTAAGTATTTTCATATTGTATCAATTTTAGTGAATGTTTAACACATAAATACAGTCATTGTATTTTTATACCATGTAGCTATTAATCAGAAACTGAAATATGTCTCTTATGACCATACAAAATGCATAAATCTGTCCGACCTTTTTTAACATTTGACTTTTGATTCGCGTCTTTTGTTACGAACATAAGTGTTTTTGCATTATTTGTATAATCTATAAATGATAAAGTTATATTGTACTATATTTTATTCTATATTTGTTAGTTTTGTTTTTTATCAAAGGATGAATACTTATTGAATATTTGTTTTAATATTGTCATATCATTTACGCAATTACGTTCGTGACAGAGACACGAAAACTTGAAGTAGTGACATAATTTGTACTTTAATTGCCTTGTTTCTGGTTTTATCAAGGATATATAATAAATAAATAATTAAACAGCATATGTGTTGATTACATCATGTTGTATTTTGTTTTATATATATTTTTTTCTTTCAGATTTACAAGAAATGACTGAATTATGTTCGTAACAATGACACAAAGATCCAAGACTCAAAATAGAAGACCTTTATTTATTATTCATCTGACAATTTACTTGTCTGCATTAATTCTCTTTGAAAGCTTGTCTATTATTAAGCTTTGAAATGAAATATTTAAAGTATTAAAGATTTCGATTGTCTTCTATTTTTTTGTTCCTTTTTAAAGCCTGAAGTTAGGTGTCCATGTTACTTACATAATTTCTCCTTTTTTGAAACTAGAAATAAAAATTGTGACTTTTTAAATAAGTTCCATTTAATATAATATTAAACATGATTTCATCATACCTTATTGATTACATTATTTTCATATTTTAACAACTTGATAAATTCTAGTAACATGTTACTTGTTTAGTGCTTATGTAAGTAACTGTGTCCATTGGTAGTCTTGGATATATTTTCTAATTGTAATGGAATAAGGCAGAAATAAGTCATGCAATAAAACATGCAAACTAGCTTATATACTTCAAAAAGAATTCACCAGAAAAGAATATTATTGTTCTAAAAAACAGTCACTGTGGACACCAAGTATATATTTCAGACATGCATGTACATTTGGACACCTATCTCCTCTTTAAGACTTCAGATTATCTTCCCTTCAATTTTTTTCAGAAGCAGGAAGGGTACTGACTTAATTAATATACATAAATTATGAAATTGATTATTTTTAAAAAATAACCCTTTGGTCACACATCTGAACTCAGTACTGAAGAATGAGTTATATAGTTGAGGACACCGTTTAATTACATATAAGTAAAATTATTCATTAAAATAAATAGTAAAGTCTAGTCTCCTTCTTAGTTCTAACCTAATTTAATTTTTATGCTCATTCGTTCTTCTTCGTGCTTAGTAACACAAATAAGATAATTAATTGTTTCATTTATTTGTAAAAATATATATGTTTATATAGGAAGCGCAAAAGTGGGCACACAAAAAACATGACATTATATTTTCTTCTTCATAACAATCGTCAAAGGGAGTTTAAAATGTTGAATATAGTCTGTTCCCCATTCATTTGACCCTGTTATTTCAGATAGAGTGAAGACATTTTCCTTCTTTTGGTCAACACTTTTGTGTACAAAACAATGTAAGGAACCGGTTACCCTTTTGTGTACTTAACAATACCAATGCTGAAGCAGCCTATATGTCACTCCCATAAACGAAAACTCATAAATCGGCACTTTGTTGGTCATTTTACACACCTGAGTTACCTGTCCTTAAAACACAACATCGAAGTAGTCAACTACAAATAATTAACCTTTGTAATGATTTAATTAAAGGTATGCATAAGTTATTATCCTTTTGGATCATTTAATATAGCTATAAATCAATATCTGAAATGTTTTTTCCATATGTGCAACTTGAAAAATTAGTAGAAAGACCTATATTGAGTCATTCAGCAAACTTTTAAGTCCTTTCAAGTTGCAAATAAAAAGTGTTTTGCGAAGACATCAAAATTTGGTAAATATATTACGAATTTAAAAAAAATTTTGACACGCTTATATGTGGAGGGTATGATTTTCAGATAATATAGTTCAAGTATAGGACAATCTTACTAAGAAATAGATCTGTATATGATTTCAAGCTTCTTTTCGGTTTAAAACAAGAGGCCCAGGGGACACAGCGCTCACCTGAGCACATCAGGCTTGAATTTACTCCCCCCCCCCCTTCCAGGCATTCATCATTTGAACAAACTGGAATCTACACTACCTGAGGATGATTCCATATAAATATCACTAATCATAGCTTTGAAGTACTTGAAAAGAATATTTTAAAAGGTTTCCCTATATATCCCTATGTAAAACTTGGGTTGGCCATTTTGGCCCCACCCTAGCCCCGGGGGTCATGATTTGAACAAACTTGAATCTGCACTACCTGGGGATGATTCCACATGAGTTTCATCTTTCCTGGCCCAGTGGTTCTGGAGAAGAAGATTTATAAAGATTTTTCCTATATATTCCTATGTAAAACTTGGGTCAGCAATTTTGGCCTTCGGCTCAGGTGAGCTAATAAAAACTATACGATGATCAGCGACAGTAACGTAATATTGATTTTTGCAAAAAATGCAATTTTCTCCTGATAGACAATCGTTCAAGTTACAATACACAATTGTTGTATTTTTATCTACAACCAACAATGTTTCATATGACTGGCAGAAATAAAATTTATTTGAAATGTTATGTTACTTAAAACACGGTTCATTATTTAATGCAAATTGAGACTTTAATTGGATATTCAGTGATATGAGTATTATATCTCTTAGTTGATTCGATTTGCCTGAGCATGCTCTATGTATGAACAATTTCTAAAACAAGGTTATTTATTGGAAAACAAGTTTATAAAACATGCAGTATCGTTTAGTGATTTCGTAATTTCTATACTCGATTCATGACCTTTTCAGAAAATACAATCTCTCATTAATTCTTATGTAGATTGACATTTTTCAAAATAATTTTTAGACCATTATTTATTCAGTGAATTGCCGACTGATTTTCCCTTATTTCCTGTAGGCAGGGGATGCTCACTTCTACATGGCACCCGATCCCAACTGATATTTTAGAGGTCAGTGTTTGGAATGCTTCAAAATTTGTATCTTTTAATGGACTTTTGAGCTTGAATATTGTTCGTCATCCCATTATATTTAATGAATAAAAAACTTTAACATAGCATCAATGCTTTTATTGATGTAATTTAACAGCAAAAGAAAATCCTGCAACATGTTAAAGGCTCAGCTATTGTAGAAACTCTAGAGAGTTACACATTTTCAGCCTTAGAACAGTTGTATTCCATGCTGTTTCGTTTATGGCTTGTTAACAGCGCTTGTATTCTCTGCAAGAACAGCATTGAGGTAACAGCACGGTTTCATATTCAAAACTATGGTTGTCCGGACAGAATATCCAAACGTTGAAGTAACGGAATCGGTCAGCCAAACAAGCACTTTTTACGCCCCTTTTCGCTGTCTTCGAGCAATTCCTGTTAAGTATAAACATAGCCTGCATTTGTAATATAAAGACAAGGGAAAAACAGTAAAAATGATACTTTAACAGCTTCTTACTTTTTTGTCTGGCACTTTGCGAATGTTACACATTGACGGGTAGGATACACAACATAACATCTTTTTCTTCCTCTCTTAATCTCTGTTGCATACTCGAATTTGATTGGACAAACGTTTTTCAGCCCAATATCTGTATATTTGCTGAAAAAAAAAATGTTGTTTCAAATTAAAAAGTAAGGCGCACAGTCATGTATTAGAATATTAACGAAAAATAAATAATACTGTAGATTGAAATTTCGCTATGGTGCACATTAATTTTCCGTGAAATTTAATCCATGTAATGTTAGAAATTATGTTAAATTGCTATAGAAAAATAATTTCTCGCACAATATATACTTTTTGAGATATCTTTTTAACACCGTGGAATTAAACAATTTACAATATACACACAATCCGATTTCTGAGCAAGAAACTTCTGTATTCCCAGTCTGCACTTGAGCGCACGCTGAATTTTTCTCCTAAAATATAATTTTAATTTCGATATGAATAATAATCAATCATGATATATTGAGGTTGCATTCAAACACGATATGACTAGAATATTGCTTTCAAATTTCTTTACAGTGGCTTAGTTTTGGCTTACTGTGTTAGAATGTAATTGTTAACTACCCTTAAATACCCTGTGATCTTTAAGTAACACACACTGTCAACATGATATCTAAACCTTTAATGAAGACAATGTTTTGTATTTAATGTCAGATGACACGTTTTTAATACATGTTTTGTATCTCTTGGTATTATATAAACAGAATTCATATTTGTCAAACTCTCCTGATTTTTGAATCTCTTGGTATTATATAAACAGTATTCATATTTGTCAAACTCTTCTGATTTTGTATCTCTTGGTTTTATATAAACAGTATTCATATTTGTCAACCTATTCTGATTTCGACATTTAGATATAAGTACACCAAAAATGGTGATACAGGACATTCAGAAGATTACAATATATACATAAGGGTTTTATCAGAAATATGACCCTGTGGTTTCATGTCCAAATGCCTGGAAAGGTAGCCTAATTTTCTGTGAAGAATCTTGTTTAAGTACCCATTCATCAAATAAAAATCTTTAAAATTATATGTTTTTAAGGAGCGTGTCGACTGACCTAAAGAATATCCGCTCCTCATCCAGGAAGATAACTCTTATTATTTATATCAAATCTAAAAAAGCTCAAAATTAAGCTGAAAATTCAATATTTTTCAGGCAACAATTTTCAATTTATGTACATGTATCTCAGTATGTTTCAGGGGCCTTTGGAAAACCTCTTTATGAACATAAATAGCTGCATTTTATAGAAATAAAATTTATTGCATTATTGTATTATCTGTGTTATCTTAGCATTTTACTTACATTTTTACCATTTGAAGTAAAAAGATGACCTAACGTACCGATCAAAGGTCTACCAATGTTTATAGCGAAGTAACATTATATGATATTAAAAGTGACTGATTTTGAGTCTGTGTTTTTAAAAATCTTATATATGATACTTTATTTTTAGAAAGTAAAATGAAATTCATTTTACAAAACATCAGTAAGTGACGGTATGTTTTGTATTTTTACCATTTGAATACTAAAAAGATGTTACCTAATACACTTTTACCGATTAAAAGGATATAGCAATTTTTATCAAAGGTTTTACTGTAGTCGGTACTTAAATGCATTTCTCAAAAATATATTTCAGATCTTAAATATTTTCCCCTATACAATATAATTAAAATTGATGAAGAACTTTAAAAAAAATTTACATGTGTATATATACAGTATTTTTATAATTCAAACTCTCACTTTTGTGAGTACATTCAATCATCCAAGCCATGATTTTTAAGACCTGGGAATCGGACCATCTTAAAGGAAAGATAAAAGGGTCAAAAATTTGTTTAAGGCAATATTACATGTATTTTAAAGAAACTTAAAAGACAAGACTATTTCAGACCAAATATCAGACAAGGGCACGTTTTTTTTATTAGACATTAAGGTGTTTGCCGATTCTCTTTCTACGGATTTTTTTTTATTTTATCTGTTTATAAAGGTAAGGGAAGATTTAAAAGGAAATAAAGTTATTAAATTCACGGATATAAATGTAGAAGTTTATCGAATTAGAAGGCGAAGTTTATTTTACCATAAAATACTTCAAAAATCAGTTTGATTGATTTTCTGAGCAGAAAATATTTGCTATCATATATCAGATGACTACTGACTTTCAGTACATATTATCGATATCATTAATCAACTTTTTTAAAACTTCATAGATACGGGATCTTTTTTCATACCAACATATTCATTTGTGATAAAATGTTTGCACTTCCATTTCAAGCATGCAATATTTGAATATGATGATGTTAAATGATCACTGAATGTTAAAGATTAACATGGTAAATTCTGACCTGATTTTCAAAGTTTGCGACCTAGATGCTGCCTTGATATGTTGCCTCTAATTGTTCAAGATTACTGAATACAAGGTAAATTTTGACCTAGTTTTCAAAGACTGAGGCCTAGATGGTAATTGATGTTAAGGATTACTGAATACAAGGTAAATTCTGACCTGATGTTTAAAGATTGAGGGCTAGATGTAACCTCCAAATGAGGCGTTGTAGGTTCCTTCTTCCAGCATTCTTTTTTCTTGTCAAATTCCCCTCTACCAAACTTTATAACATCGCACGTCTTTTCACCAGAAGCCCCGGATAAACAGATAACAAAGAATACTGTTGCGACAAGTAACCAAACGCACTGCAATAAAAACTAACACTATTTATAGGATTGATAATGAATTTGAACAAAACTTGGAATTAATCTGAAGAAAAAAAATAGAGACAATAATGTTTATTTCTGAAAGGGAACAGATAAACTGATTACACCGAAAACTTGAAATAAATCTTGACTGTATTCATACTCGAATAAGAGAAGCAGAGAGGATGTGAAGCAAATACAATTAAAACTCTAAAGAGGACAAAACAACACTTCCTCAACACTTCCTTTGAAATTTTTATACAAAACCAAATGAAGGAACTTACTGCCATTACTGTTTAAAAGAAAGATTAAAAAATTAACAAAACTTAAATAAGATACTAATGTAAAAGCTTACCTTCATAATGGCAGAGAGTCGAACTTGACGGAGGGAAGTGAAGTTTTGATTTTTATAAGACGCTTTATATACCTTTTTCTGATTATATAAAAATAATTAACACCTTCATTTGCAAAACAGTCACGAAAACCCGTTTTTAAGGATTTAGTATCTTGTTTGAAAATCTTTAAGATAATAAGGGCACACATTTCACGAACTTCAAGGTCACCCTCCATGAAAGAATCATTTAGGTAACCTTCGCGAATTTTCATTTTTACTTTTTTTCTATAGCACGATTAGATTGCCGTTTTGCAGCTTATATCCAAAACAGATAAGTATAAAGAGTACGTAGTAGTCCATTGATATATTATTGAAGAAGTCGAATCAGATCTTAATTATTACTGAACATTTTTGCTATACAATTCTCGGAATGGTTATTATATGCAAGCGGCATATATGATCATAATTTGTCTGTAGTCCGTCTGTCTGTTAATTTTTCACATTTTTGACTTCGTCTCCAGAACAACTGGGACAATTTCAACCAAACTTGCCACAAAGCATCCTTGGGTGAAGGGAATTCAAGTTTGTTCAAATAAAGGGCCATTTCATCTTTCAAGGGGAGATAATTAAGAAATTGTGAAAATTTTATGTCATGTTTGAAAAATCTTCTCAAGAATCACTGCGTCAGGAAAGATGAAACTAATGTGGAAGCCTCCTCAAGTGGTGTAGATTCAAGTTTGTTCAAATCAATACCCCGGGGGTTGGGTTGGGCCACAAAGAGGGATCAAAGTTTTACATTTGAATAAACAGGATTTTTTTTTTAAAAAATCTTCTCAAGAACATCAAAGCCATGGTTGGTCATATTTAAAGGAAAGCACAGTGTACATTCAAGTTTGTGCAAATCGACACCCGCCGGTAGGGTGGAGAACAAGGGGGGAATAGAAGTTTTACATAAGATTACATAGGGAAAATCTTTAAAAATCTTCTTATAAAGATCAACAAAGCCATGATTAGTTATATTTATATGTAAGCATCCTAAGGCAGTGTAGATTCAAGTTTGTTGCTATCAGAACCCCCGTGGATTTGGTGGAGCAACAATGGACGATCAAAGTTTTACATAAGAATACATAGGAAAATTCTTTAAAAAATTTCTTCTGAAGAACAACAAAGCCATGATTGGTCATATTTATATGGAAGCATCCTCAGGTAGTGTAGATTCCAGTTTGTTCAAATAATGATCCCTGGGGAGGTTGAGTCAAATGAAAGTTATAACTTATATAGGGAAAGCATAAGTAAGCCAAAGAAATAGGTAAGCTATCTTAGTTAGTGTAAATGATAGCTAGTTCAAACCATCCCCGCCCTCTTTTAGGGATAGGTCGTGACCACTTATGCATTTAAGCTTTTCAATACTGGATTGATTTTTGCTTTTTCCTTAGCCTCAGTGCTCAGGTGAGCGATGTGGCCCATGGGTAACTCGTTGTTGTCTGATTTGGTACATGAAAACCAACAAAGTTTGATGAACTCCGCATTCAAAATATGTCTCGGTAGCAAATTTTTATTAATATAAATTGATTTTAAACTAGATATAGCAAAACTGCGCAATACATTTATTCATAAACTCCGTTTTTAAAACCTTGATAACACACCTGATCACATAGATATCTTTTTGGCGGAAACAAATAATTTATATATGCATTTGATCTCGTAAAATGAACATGCTTACCATAGCGTAAATTATTTTTATATTATTTTAAACGCCGTGAGTTTTGAAGTGCCAAATGAATATTAAAAATAAAACAAAATATATATATAATGGAGCTTTTCGAAAAAGAATAAGAAGTATCAATAGGTTATTTTTGAAAATGAGACAAGTAAAGAATGGCCACACAATGCCAACAAGTAATATTTTCAGTTAAATTCTACTTTTGAACGCTAATGTGGCTTCACATATGAACAGAAGATCAGTATTGTTTATGTTGATTTTTATGGTTATGGTTATTTTTATGGTTTGTTCTCCTTTAGTTGTTGATAAAATAACGTAATCTTTTTTCAAACTTTCACATTTTTCCTTTCC